AACGAACGAACGAACGAACGAACGTTAACGAACGTTAACGGACCAACGAACAAACTAACGACGGACAGAATGATCCAGAAACGTATGAAGTGAAAAAGAACGAAAATGAATGATAGGAAAAGTGGAAAGGACGTTGCAGTACCTGCATTCTCAATGGAGTCAGATCTGTCTCTCGCGGCTCTAAGTTTCCCGACAAACTCCGGGTCCATTTCACTGTCCGACATATCCTTGGGTCCAGGGTTGGTATTTGAGATCTTTTGCGGTCTTCCGCCAATATATAATGTATTTGAGCTATGACTTAGTTCCCCGACAGCAAGAGACTTTGCATTGTGCTTAGAAATCTCGTCAGAGATATCAGACGGTGACTTACTGACCAGGCCAGGCATTGGTACAGTGCCTTTCAGAGGCGGGTTGCGCGGCGCCGGAGGCAGGGCAGGAAAAACTATTTCTGTTAAATATGCAACTTTTGCGGCTACAGTCCCCTTTTTGGGAATCTCATCCTCGGGTCTGAGTTCCTCGTCTTCTAAAGTGCCATTCTGTGCTTGTGCAGACTTCGGTGGGTTATTGTTAATATCCGAACGAGCCGCACCCACCCCTCCCTTACCGTTATGTTCATTAAACATCACCGGAGCATTTCCGATCAAGATATCGTTGTCTTGGTAACCGTTTACTCCAGGTTTCTCGTCTCCCGCCTCGTAGGACTGGCCTACTTTAGTCTTGTAAGGAACCACGACTTTCGAAGCGTAGAACGTCGGCGACAACGACCTCTCGTGTGTCTTTAGAGCTGGCGCTTGATGTAGCTTTTTCGGTGTACTGGTATTTTGAGGTGAGCTTGGGCTCCAATTATTCCCGTGTTCAGGATTTCTACGGTAATAATCAAGTCCATTCTGGTTATTTGACTGCGTTCTCGCCACTTTTGCCGGCACTGCATGTCGCTCGTGGTACTTCTCCGTCGCACCGTAGCTTGCAGTCCTCCTCAGAGGTGTTGGTGGATTTAGACTTTTAGTGGTTTCTGGCTTAGCACTCTGTATCGGTGCAGAGGATAGCTCTTCAAACGTTAACGGTGTCGACTTGTTTTTTCCTTGTTGTATAGTACTATCTAAAAGATCAGAGCACTCTCCAAGCTCTTTTAAAAGTTTATCGATTGATTGAATATTCCCGCCAAAATCCTGTTCCATGGCGACGTCTCCGTTGGAATTCAGCTTGTTGGAATTTCTGTTGTATTGATATCTGTTCAGAGTGGCTGTTTCTTGAGGGATACGTGGATCGTGTTTTGGTTCATAGCCTTTATTTAGGACAGCATTTCCATCAAGTAGTTCCACACCGTTTGACGTCCTTGAGTGAATGCCACTGTCTAAGCTGTAAGAACGAATCTGCTTTTTAAGTTTCTTGTCGACTTGGGCATACAAGCTGCCATCAAGTGGTCCTGGTATGTACGATGATGGACCTGTTGATGGAATAAAACCGGTTAAACTGGTTAGTACTGGCTTCAGTTTAGCACTACGTACATTAGGAAGCGCGACGGTAGTGAACTTTGCTCCGGGGTCTCGGGTTCGACTCCTGGATTTGACATCGCTTGACCCTTGATTCGAGGATCCTTTTCGGTACTAGATTACCTTCTCCGCCCGAAATAATATAATAATCATAATAAAATACAAAACTTTTCTAAGTTTGTAATTTGTTCCCCATCTCAAATTAATCTCAATGTCATCTTTTTTGCGTCCAAATTGGGCTCCCTGTAGTCGGACCAAGAAAATGAGCGGGAAAAAAAGAAATGGCAAACGCGTCAACAGAACTATGAGGGGGAAAATGATTTTAACTTTACGCCCTTCTTGAGAAAAATCAAACAAAAAAACCTTAATTTTCGTAATCGTAATAAAATATCCGTCATTTCAACCAGATTTTCTTATTTTTTTCACTTAAACAGGAGTCTTAGATATCTTTATAACTACGAAATACGGAAAGGATGACGCCGGCTCAAATGGTTTCTTTCTTGATTGTGATTGGATGGTGATTATTTTCGTGCGCTTTGATTAGTTACGAGTGGAAGCCATTTGACAGTAACGACAGTGTAGTTTTTCCACTCTTCTCAGCTGAGAGGATTTTAAAACTGATAAGAAACCACTTCAAAATGAGAAAAGATAGACAAATAATATATCAAAACACCTGGACAACGACTCTTGACCTTCTTTTCATCTCGATATCAAATTTTAGCATAATTAAAAAGAGCCTACGAGTTTCAAAAAACAAGAAAAAAGTTTAACGTAAATAAGTGAGCCTTACTTATTTTTTCACACATTTAGGTTTCATTTTTACTGAGTTAAGATTCTACTTGGAATTACTGGGGTCTCTTCGATCGTTATTAAGCATATTAATTTTGTTTCAGTGAATTCAGAGTGAAAAATTTAATATTAACTTATCGTGAAGTTTGTCACAAAAACACTTAGACTAGCAGGATGTAGTGCATTATAAACAGCACGATATCTGTTGAGATTAAGTTCTTCTTTTTCTGTATCATATTTTGGTGTCGATAAGTGTCTTTAAGAAACAACTTGTCTTAGTTTCCTAACCTTACTGGCTTCCGCTATAAGAATCCGTCTTAACTCCTTTACGTCAAAAGCGAAATTAAAACTCTATGATAGCATGGTTAAGCTCTTGCGTACAAAGTATCAAAATATATGTACAAAATAATTATGCAATGACAATAGCAAAAAATTATACATGGACGAATATCTAAAACTTGTCAAGTTCAAATAAAACAATATGAAGCGAATTATATTCTCGAGGTTAAAGACAATGTTTTGGAGAAAAAGAAAAAAAAATGCTTGATTTTCGTGACAAATTATCGTGTTTCTTGTATCACAAAGGGGAGGAAAATAGAGATTACTAAAAACGAGTTTTCTAACAGGTTTTTAAAGCTGTAGTTAGCTGTGACTTATGGTGTCCAACAACAGATTTAAAAGCATATTTTGTAAAGGTAAATAAAAGTCAGAGAAGCAAATTGAGTAAGGAAAAACCATGAAATAAGAAACGCTTGGGGTATTTTATGGCCATAATTGATAATTGTGGTCTTAATGTACAACATTAATTAATGTCGTCTGTCGTTGAGACCTTTAACTTTTTCATGGACAACTTCTAAGCGATTTTTTTAATAAATCGTCCCAATGACTCCAAGATAAGATGACAGACATCAAACATGCCATACAATATTTCAAAACACTCATTTTCGCTCCAAAAGATTCTGTATTATTATATTTTAACTATCTTGTCCTATCTTGGACATTTAGGTCATATATAGTTAAGTAAACGTTCCGTTTCGGAAATTTTGGCTGTTATTTGGTCGCTGTAAGTTAGAATATTTGGAAAAGAAATGGTGAAAAAATGTTACAATAGTATACAATGCGTTCAAAAGATGGAGTCTAGTATTCATATTGCCTGTTAACCAATTAGGGAATAAATCTATCAAACAACAAAGTTATTTTAATCATGAATGATTTAAAAACAATAATGATAAATATTAGCAAACAGAATAATAGACATACTTTCAATTAGAAAGGAAAAAAGCGAGCTTAAAGTGGCCGACAAACATTTTGTGTGCTTGAATTGTTTTTATTCGTTGTGCAAGGTCACGCCACGGGTCTGCAGATCACTTTGCATCAAGAACCTTTATATTTCACTATTATTACTACTTGTCYGGCTAAAATGGAATAAAAATTATATCACAGACCCATTATTATTTTATTAATTATGGATTATTTGGTTGTTGGATAATACTAGAAATATTAGTGAGACGACAGATTGTACAGCGGATTGTAAGAATCACTATGCGATGCTGCAGTTTCCACAACTAGCATCTTCAAGCAAAACCAAGCAAAACAACACCGTTTGTCAACAGTAATTCATCATATTTCAAATAAGACAGAACAAGATATGTAAGTTTGTTTAAACCCGTTCAAGGAGACGGTTTTGGTGAAAAGAAGGAATAAAGAACGGCTATCTCCGATAAAATCCCCGGCAAAGCTAATACATACGTTAACTGCGCGATTAAAAAAAATCGCGGTTTCAAAGGTATAAAGAGTTTAGGAAGTCGATTCTTTCCTTTCAAATACTAACCAGAAAAGCTGCTTGAATGTCCACTGTATCCTATCTTGCTTTCCTCTGAATTGAGCTTTGAATTCAAAGGTTCTGAAACAAAGAAACAAATACCTTGAATAAAGAAAACAAAGGATGTTTTTGGTAAAGATTAGCCATGGTTTAAGAGTGGAATGCTTGGGGAATATTTTTTCAAATAACTTATATTAATACGTACGATTTCGGTAAAAATAAGCCATGCTGTCGAGAACTCTTTGCTATCCACAAAGACGCAAACCACATAACATGGTATCTTAAAATTTCGCTATTTTGTCTACGAAAAAGCTTAACACATCGAAATAACGCGCGAAAAGATTAGCGATACAAACTAGTTTTAGATTACGATGGACAACGAATTGTTTCAAGTTGATTCTTGAAGATATGGATTGTAGAATTTGAAGCATTCATGACATATTTTAGGAAATTCACCAAGCGAATGCAACTCTACGCGAAAGGTAAAGAGTAGATGGAATGTGAAACGCGTTGTTCCATCGATGACTCACACTTATAGCTCACCAAGTGATAACAGACAGACACGACTTAAGAAGAAATCCAAAGTTCGGCTGTTGGTGAATGCAACTTAACCAGTAAAAACAGAAACTAGCGTATTACAGGGTTAAAAGCCAAGGTTCTCGCCAATAGTTTTGATGCAATTCCAGCACATTTGCGTCTAATTAAAGCAACAAACGATGGCCATGTTGGCGAGAGATTCACAATTCATGGAAGCTCTTCACCCATACCGATCACTGAGGATCCAAAGAGTCTGTGATTGAGTTACTCGATATCTCATAAGCTTAGCTAGAATTACCCATACGTTAGTTTAAGGCGAAGAAACACGCGCCAGATTCAGGCCTCCCACATCAAATCAAATTCAAACCAATATCGRCTGTGCTTGCCATTAAGTTCCCAAATACCAGAGAGATAAAGTAGCGTCCTCCGCGCGTCTCAACAACGAGTGCACAGCCGAAATCTGTTGGCGCTTTTTTTTGACCCTACGCACATTGCTTGAATATTACTACTTATTTCATACCATTCCCATCGTATAAGATATCCTGTGCTAATAAACGCAAAGCGACTGTATCAGCTTACAAGGTTTCTGCGAATACGCATTGGTATAAGAAATTTTACCCATTTTCTTGCTGCCTTGATTGAAACGATAGAGAGGAGGGGACGCCGCAGAAAGCGACCCTGAGAAATGAGCCACATCTCTAGGACAGCAGAACGAATGCCTGGTCGTTAGGGCCATTTTATAGTTACAGCTACCACGCGTTATTCGTGTGCATTGAGCATCACAGACCAGTAGGACTTCAATGAATACCAAAAGCTCGTTTAGATGATCACAACAAAAGCATTGTCAATCTAATGATGACCCTTACATTACCTTGGATTATAGCAGAAGTCTCTATTGATTCTCGATTTGCGGGTCTGATAAGCCAGAAAGATGCAATCTCTTTTCAAGACTTTTATCAATCGATCCTTGGAAATTCCATCTGGTACTGCTACAGCTATCCAGAAAAGGCTAGCACAGAAAGATCTTGCTTAATGTAGGTCAATTGAGGAAATTTCTGTCGGTTTGATTGAACCGTGACGAACATAGACACTTGTGGTATTAATAAGTGTTCGCCAATAGAAAACGTTACCTGATATAAGTTAAGAAAACAAAGCCTTGATGGCTAATGAGTGTAGCAATCAACGCGTTTCGTTCAATACTGCTTACCAAGTCCCAGGTCTTATAAAATCTCTTTGTAAAAATTTTCGAAAAAGGAGAAAATTCCCAGAGAAACTATTGGAAATTTTCTGTTAATTCATAGGGCCTGCTCAACCTCGAAACTAATCAATGAGAAGCTAGAAAATTCTTTTATGATCGGTTATATTTACGAACACTATAAAAAGGATATCTAAAGACATTCTTAAGCAACGCTCACAAGCAATTTTAGTTTCAAGACTTTCAACTTAGGAAGCAATTTAAGACGATCGAAAATGGAAAAAATATTTTAAAAATGAAAGACTTAGGATTGCCGGATTTATTCGTAGCTTCGCATAAACCATGATTTCGATTGGGTGGCCCACAAATGACATCCGGCAAGCGTTACGTGAAACTGGTCAAGTGTTTCTGTCCAGTTTTAATGCTGTTGACCTCATGGAGAACAGAATAACAGATAAGAAAATAAGGTCAGGGCTTTGAATGAAGAGAATGCAGCTCTAGACTCTAATCAAAAATCCTATCTTCATTCAACCAAGACACGCGTGTATTTGTTTTGTTACAAGAAGGGCGGATAGCTCTAACCGACTGATAAATCTTATCCGGTGGATAAATTTATTGGATCTATAACATCTATATATATATAATGATATTTATCTTCTTGTCCGAAGACTTTGTTGAAAAAGGTTGTCCACATATCGATCCCACAAGGCTTTGCGATATCTTTTTTTAGTAAGCCGATGGAAAAAACTGTTATCAGGACTTCTCCTAAATTTTCAATTAAAAGGCGTCATTTTATCCAAAGTCGAATCCAGAAACTAGTGGAAGGATTAGCTTGACGTAACATTATTTCTGCAGTCTTAGCTGAATGTAATAATATTTTTAATTCAATCTACCCCCTCCCCACGTGATTTCAAACCAACATGGCGGCTATTTTTTGCTATTTTATTCCTTTCAAAATGATTTGTTTGATCCCTGGACTCAGTATTACATGTGAGTAAATTTTGTTCTTGATTCTAGTTTTTTTTTCGGATTAAAACTTTTTATTTTTAGAACGAGTATCATGGCGTCAATCAATACATAAGCAATTCTGAGAACAACAAGATAGGATTGATCCATTGCTAGTGATAACAGGAAAAAAGCTTAAAGGTCAAAGGAGTGTCTGTGATACAGTCCTTTGATATCTGCCATCTAATCTAAGATAATGCTCAAAACAAATAAGATACCATCTTTTAAAAAGAGGGGGGAAAACCGCATACGAAATCTATCAGCACCGTTGTCAAACGTCTAAAACAATGATCGCGCAGAGACCTGGGTCGAGCTCGTATTCTGACGTCACGACCGAAAACAAAAACCGAAGGGAGACTTTGGTAAATGTTTGTATAAAATAAGCATTCATCATCTTGCAACGATAAAAAATAACACATTATTTATATAACACATATATAATAACACATTAGAAAATAACACATTATTTATAAAGGTGTGGAAAATGTGAAAAACAGAAAAAAAAATCCTTGTTTTTTCCCACGTTGAGTATACACTTTGAGTAGCAAAAAGCAAAAACGTTCTGTGCAAGAAAATGGAAAATGGTTCCAATAACATACAAAAACAAACAAACAAACAAAAGAAATGGACTAAAACAAAACAAAAAACAAAAAAACAAATGGACAAAAACAAACAAACAAACAAAACAAAAAGGCCCTATAGCCAGTTTTCTTCTACGTATATTCAAGACGTCGAGCATAGTGTTTCCCTATCCCGACTTCGTGGCCGGTAAATTATATATATATATATTTATTTATTTATTTATTTATCATTATTATCAAATGAAAAACCCTACGTCGAAGAATGACTGTCTCAAGCTTCTAGAACTATATATAAAACTATCATACAGGATCTGAGCTCCTGACAGGACTCTAGCTTCATGCGCCCAGGATTAGCAATCGTGCTTCAACGCCAAATCGTGTGGAAACTTTTTCAAAAGAAAATTTCAAAAATTATAAGTCAGAGACAACCAATTTACCTTATATATGGAGTTCTATCTTTCTAAATGGGATTTCGTGTAGACAGGCAGACAGACGCAAATCGAATCATGAGGTTGGCAGCCATATACAAAACTACGGTGAGTGATTTCACCTGGGATTTATAACTGAAAACGTCTGTTACCTATTAACATCTAAATAAAATAATTAAGAGTCGGACATTTACCGATGTCCGGCAAGACTAATTACTGAAACAATGGCATGGAAAGAGGACTTGAAAGAATGAATGAATGAAACAACAGATGAATGGACGGATGAATGAATGGATGTAGAAATCCCAATCAATACGTTACTAACGTTGTTAACTTTACATGATCTATTCCAAAGATTTTAGTTGAAAAACAATCATTCCACGCACTAGTAAAAAATGTAAATAATTCGCGAATCTTACAACTTTCTTTTTATCGCCAAGAGATTTGTTAAACGATTCATTTTTCGTATGTTTTCAATATTTCTGGTCAACCACAAGGTCAGCTAGATGTTCCTAACATGGAATCAATTTGTCAAGAGACGAACCTGGTTGTTTTGTTGACGTGTAAACCATTGAAAAGAACAGACGAGACCGCAACCGAACCGGCTCAAGACCACACGTTAACCGGAAAAAAATTAATGTACAGTTTTGTCTAAAAGGCTTAGTATTGAAGGTTTTCCAGCTTTCAGTTGTTTTCATTTTTTTGTTACAAGTTGCGTTGCATGCTGCTTACTAAGCTTGAAAATATTATTTTTCGAGTGTGAATCTTTCGCCTAAGAATCGAATTCCATGTCAGCTGTAATGTAGGTCTACAACATGGTGTATATGTAATTAAAAGAAATTTCATCTCTCCATTTTCGATCGATTTATAACGGACGAAAACTTTGAATGCTTTGCAAAGTCATTGCTTTTGTAACTTTTACGATAACGCGATCTGAAAAGAATTCGAATCGTTCTTGTACGAACATTGTGCCTGAGTTTAGACTTACCCCTTCCTCCCACGCAGGTGAAAAAAAGAGAGAAAGTTTGAACCCAGAGGGGAAGGTGTCGGGTACGTTGTACGGTAGGTATGTAATGAATCTTAATTATATAAGGAACGGTGAACATAATATGGGCGTTGTCATATCACGGTACTTGATCGATGCATTACAGTAAGAGTCAAATATTTATACACGATATGATATGATGTGTACTCTGATATAGGTGGTCCTTGCATATGATCTATCGTTAATATGATAAACATCTTGTATATTTTTTGCGAAAGAATGGTTCTGAAACAAGGTCGAGCTCAACTGATTGGAATAAAAGTTACTGTACTCTAACACAGCTTTGAGTT